AATAGATATATAAATATTGATTATTTATTGTGACAAAATAAAATAACAAATAATAGAAAATATTATTGCATTAAAAGTTATTAATAATAGTTGTCACTTTATTTGCACTTAATCTTGATCGTTTTTCATAAATTGACCCTGGCTTTTTTAAAAAGTATCCACTCAACATCTGGTTTAACAATTGTCTCCTATGAAAATCACCAAACAAGTAGATAGTAATATTTTACCAAATCGTGCAATACAATGCAAATGGATATCATCAGGGCAGAATCTGGACTACAGGCAGAAGGTAAGACATAGAGAATCGGTATCGGAATTCTATCGATACGATTTACTTTAATTTAATTTAATATTTTCTATATACGAATTTGCGTCCGCAATTAATCAGGCGATTTAAAATACGTCCAACAGTTTTTCAAAAACTTTATTGTAGTGGATCTTAGGCACAATTTTGTGTGTTGAATTATCGGTACACGGCAATCTGCAATCTCATTTGCAATGATAAATACCCGGTCGTTTGAACATGATTTTCAAAAGTTTGTAATACATTTTTCTGCAAATTTATGGACGATCCGCATTTTCTTGCACTTAAACTGCTTTAGTGTGTATAATTGTGTGTGTATTTTAATTGTAAATTAAAAAGAACACTAAACTCGAACATGCATATAGTAGGTTAGCGCCCTTACTTAGTATTTGCAGCTTATCCCTTGTTAATTTGTTGATTTATTGTTATCAGCGTTATAAAATAAACTGCACCAAACAACAATATCACAATCAGTAATTGATAAATCAAAATCACGTATTTGAAAAGTTTATCAGATCTACAGATGCACCCGCACTAAGAGAAAAATGTCGAATTCAAAGTGCCTATGTGTGTCCCAAGCCTCAGGCGCGAGGAATCCGCCGTTACCGAGAAAAATCTGTTCACCGTCCCATAAAAAGTTATCACTTCAAAAATAAAACATTACAAAATATATCAAGTACAATCATAATGGACAGTAGATATAAACACAGGTAAAAACACAGTTCATCTTCTAAACCCATATTATTTGAAGAATGCGGCGGCGCTAAGTTGTCTGAAGATCAACTCTCATCGGAATGTTCCTTTTATACCATACATAATAGAGAGCGATTATGAGCTAAACTGTTTGTTATTTACTTAATAAATGGTTGTAAGAAATTGTATGATACACCATTTCGTCTGAGATTTGCAATAGAAAACAATGCAAAAAATACATTGAAGGGCCTAAAAGTTATTGGAAATTGCAATAAAAATCCCCATGCCTACATTAATAGCCCCAAAATGCCAGGACCAAAGGATTTATTTATATGCCATCTATTGGAAAAAGGTGACCTCGTAAATAGTTAATTTTGATTACAAAAATTTACCAGAGAACGGAACGGCCGGCGGAACTAGCGCGATAGACTTATTTGATCACATTAGTACAACGCAACAAAATTACAGTATAAAACTAACTCAAGCAAAAAGTATAATAAACGCAAGTGCACGCGCCTACTGATAATTAATTTCTATGTGATTACTTACATTTACCGATACATCATGCCGATAGGCAAGATTAGGATCGCTACTCCGAAGTAAGTAAAGTTCATTTGCAACTATGCGCTTATTTCTAAATACAATTATATTGCAAAACTGCACAAGTTTGAAAAAAAAATTGCAAACTACACAAGAAACCTTCCGCAAAAACGTAAGATATTATCGGTTTGAAAATATAGGGAATCAAAATTCGGCACAGCAATTAAACGAAATCGCGCTGAAACAAGCACACGCTAGTTCAATTTTCAACGCAAACATTGCAGGTTCAACCAAAAAACCTTTTTTCTGCAAGTAAATTGATTTATTTGTCCAACAAATAATAAATATCGGCGATGTTGTTTACCTTTGTGTCAGTCTATTAACTGATACGCATCTACGGTTGAAAAAGTTATCAGAAAAACAACTACATATTTAGTTATAATTATATATCGGAACAAACAATATCGTGACAAAAGTAATTGTCAATTACTAATAGAACGTAGAACCTAGTATTTTTTGAAAATATGTTCTTGATTTGAATATCCGCAGAAATATGGCATTCACTTTGGCTTCATTTGCTTTGTGAACTTGAATTTCCATAGGTATTGCTTTAACCATGAAAACTTTAATAAAAATTCTGCAAAACTTTCAGGCAATTTCTTCCAATATTTCTTTTATTCCGCATTATTTGGCGGCTTGTTTGGCCGCGGTTTCGCCGCACAAACTTTATTATTTGCATGTGTGAGTTAGGCCCTAGGTTATGTCTTGGAAAGACGCCTTTAATAAAACTTCCAGCTGCCAAGACACAATTACTTAGTTTTTATATTTATTGACTTAACCGCTTAAGTTTTAAAACACTTTCCAGGAACTTTCAGTTAAAATGAGTAGATTTATAGAAAGAATATTCAAAATTGCCCAACCGCATAATAAAAGCTTATAATATGATTAACGATTTTCTCCCCGAATTACTATTTCCACAAAAAACGGTTTCAATTAGAAATTAGTTTCAGTTATGTTATAATATTTTCTTTTATGAACGCATTCTACTGCTTTGCTGTATAAAGATACCCGCCAGACTAAACATTTACATACATATAAACACACAAACTCTCTGAAGACTAATTAGCCGCATAAAAAAACTCTGAAACAAGAAATTTATTTGAAACTCAAATTTAAACCAGAAATGTGATTCTTTAACTCAACAGGCTTAACAGAAAACATTTACTAAAGGCAAATTTACTTCCACATAGACATTCGGTGAAAAGTTAATTCAAATGAAATATTAGCCTAATTCAACAGATCAGCAATTCATAAAATTGAATTTTTCCTTTATAGAATTCACAATTCACAATGTGGTGATTCAAAAAATAAAGGGAAAACCTAAATGTGTACAACCAAAGCACACTTTTTAAAGCAAACTGTTTCGTAACATCAATTCTAAATATATAGTTAATTTATGTTATTCCAAATTGCTTATGAATTATTTAGTTTAATCTTCAAGTTTGAGAAATACTCCGTTATGTAAACGAAATTTTGATTAAAACAGCGCATTGCTAAATATAATATTTAAAACAATAATAATGTTATTTTGTTAAAGATACCGGGTTTAGATAAAATATTAAGTTTTCAATGGGTCAAAAATTATTCAAAGTAACAACAATCTGGTAAAAAGTTGTAGGTCAATTATACATCCTTTATTTAAAGATCAAACAAAGATATTACTATTTAAATATTTTATTGACTTTTTCATTAATATGATTTATGAACAACACTTCTGATTCTTGACAGACAGATTGCGTTTTCACTGCGTATGCGTTAGTTAAATTAAATCTAATAAAAATCACTGCAGATTCTAATAATAATTTAGCGCGACTGAACGTCCAGCTGCTAAAACTTGCCCTGGTATTCTACAATATAGCCTTTGCTGTAGTTACCGTTTAGATAAGACATAATGAAGAACTAAGTAAGACGAACTTTATTTGATTAAAAAAATATAATTCGAATTATATTTTTTAAATAACAACTATTATTGCATCAACAAAAGTCAAACATTAACCCTATAACGACCGTCGTAAAACTTATGCCGGAAAAATAAAATAATTCGAAGTTCTTCAAATAAAACGTATTCAATAAAACGTATATGAACGTATGTATAGTGTGTCTGGTAAGTCAAATAATTTATTTCAGGAAGTTAGAGTATAACTAACTATGGATATATATATACGATTTACAAAGGGCGGAAAGAACAAATCAAAAACTTAATATTATAAATTTTATACACATTTGTACAGTGTTTGAGAGGTAACATCAATACATGTTTTCCTTTGATTTTGGAAAGAGCAGCGAAATTATTTTGTATGACGCATTGGCTTGACGTAAAAAACAATCGATTTATTACATTGAGCAATTATTTTTTATTGCATTATTTGCATTTCATCATAAAGTACCCAAATTCCTCAATTTATAAATTAAGATGAGTTGAACTAGTTCCAAGTGTAAAATTTGAACGTTTTCTAAAACATCCTGTAGCTGCGAAGAAAAGCATTTGAAGGGATTAGACGCAAAATCACTTAAGTACAATATTTTGCAAAACTAACCTACGTGTTCATTCGTGTTGTCCATATTTGCATCTTTTGGTAGTGAAATCGGCCAGATAAAAATAGTAGCTGACGGCTTCTTTCGGTAAACAAAACATTATATATAAAGGAATGAAGGCCAAAACGCATGGGTGTCTTTTGGGTTGATTTGCTATCAATTTGATGTGTGTGATGTGATTCGAATGTATTTTTGTTAGAATATTACAACATTTTATCACAGAGATTAACTGATTAATTATAGTATTAAGACTTTATTATTAGACTTAGAAACAAATCTATATGCTCGGACAAGGAACCTGATGTATTTCATACCAAGTGAAGATGAGACTCATGGAAGTGATACGGTGAGTGGAGTTTAGGGATCAGATTGTAAGGTGACGTAATATTAGTTTCCTATTTTAGTAGCCCCTGACCGAACCCGAAGAAAACAGTCAATATTAACGAATGGTAAAGAAACGTAATTAAGAAGAATAGGCTTTCTGGTCAAGAAAATGAAAGTAGAGGGATAAATAAAAGAAGGAAAATAGGTAAGGAGTATGTAACACACATACAGATACCAATGCGGAAAATATTCAGCGGAGAGACAACGACTTGTTTTTAAGTTGTTCAGTTTACCAACTTATGACCTACAAACAAATAAAGTACCTAAAAGAAAGTCGACAAGCGCTAGATTCTGCATTAATTTCAAAATATTTAAATAAGCATATTAAGAAATTAATGAGGACCACAAAGTCAGACTATAAAGTGGAGAGACATAAGATGGTTTTCCACACAATAAAAACCTCATATATCAGCTTTTCTTTAAAAAAAAACTTTTTTTTCAGTCAACAAAATGCCCAAAAAATGTTTGCTGTCCAGTCAATAATTTAAACTCAGATCTCCTTTACCAAGAAACGCTAAAAATTAAACATGAGAAATGGGAGAATTTACAAAAGTTGCTAGATGTCCGTCTTCCAATATACCATCAATTTTATAAAGACTTGCCTCTTGACCCAAAGGCTAAAAATTTAAAAAACAAACTTAAAGCAATCCAGCTGAAGATTCGTTAATTGAAAATGTCGAAGAACAAGATATTAATTAGATGACATTTTTGTCAGATTACAAGTAAATTTATCTGTTGTATTCCTAAACATTAATTTTTGGAAAAAATAGTCAAATATTCAAAAACATTGTTTGCTTTGTCGTATTTTTTGATATTTTGTTTCGATTCAAAGGTAAACAACCCAAGTGCCTTTTTGGTAATGTATAAAATGTATTTCACAAAATATTATTTTATTTCTTGCATAGTAGTTAAGTTCTTGTACTTAATTTAAATCGTTCTATTATACAAACTAATTTAATTCATAAGCTAAGAATTTTTCATTGCAAGAAAACTTTGACGATTCATTTCTCTAAATAAACGTGTTGTGACTTAGGCGGTTTTGCTTCTAACCCGTTCATTTTCTCAATATGGTATATTAAAGGTATCTATCTAAGATGACTTCGAAAGTCTCTTGCAATGAATTAATCAACCTGCCCAATAGCCTGTATAATAGAAAATATACATTTTATTTGTTTGTTTATTATCTTGTTTATTTGTACAAAATAGACCAGTAGGCAAAGACTTGTCAGGAAAAGTTGTGTCTTCATATAGGATGTCTCAACACCAAACAGAAAAGGTTAATTATGTCTCGTTAAAATTAAAAGTTACCTCATTACTTCAATTATTGATAAGAAGAGATATTTTTTAATGCAAACAACGACTGAGGCTTTATTAGATTTTTCTAATACTTTTACGTCAGCAAAAAAGATTCGTGGCAGGTTGTACGTCTTTAAGAATAACTGCAAAGTGTTGAAATAAATTACAATTTCCGAGCTTCTTTAGTTAATCGCTGAAAAGCCTCCATAACTGGGAATGGCTGAACAGACTGAAATATTTACTTGCACCATTTAAAAAAAGTGTCTATCAGTATCGGAGAGAAGAAAATAAATAAGTTCTCTCATGTAAGTAATGCAATATTTCGCGTAGAAATTTCAATATTTATTACTTTAGCAATTAGTGAAAACATGTTTTCAATGTCGCTTTATCAGAAAGCAACTACTTTTTCACTTTAAAACACTTCAGTGTATGACATTTAAAACGCAACGAAAAATCTGTTAAATACTTGATTTAGCTTAACTTAACTACATTTAACTGTAATCAAGAAACCAGGACTTGAAGTTTTCTGTAATTGTTTTAAAGCACTCTGCATATGCGTTTTCGAACGTTTCATTGGTCAAAAATGGATCGAATTGTTTACAAGTAGTGTTAGGGTACTATATGTAAACGAAAATTTTGAAAAAGCGCACATTCATTTATGGAAACGGTTTCTTGATATGAATGGCCTCTTTATAGTGGAGAACTAAATCGTCCCTTTTACAATGACTCTGAGAAGCCTCGGCAAATCGCCCCAATGCTTAGCAGGGTTTCTGTCAATTTTCCAAGAGCGGGCGTTTTCATTATCCAAATATAAACTAGCAAGATTAACAAAATAAATTAATTTTACAACTAACAACGTTTTCACCATTATTCAATTAAAAAATCTGTTAAGGTTATTGTAAATGTTTGCCTAAAATGTACCCATCTTTTTGCTCATAGGACGACCATTGAATGAAAAAACGCTGTTTCCGTGATAATTGGGCCACTATCAAAATTTTAATTTAAAAAATATTTAGCGATTTCTGTAACATTTCTTAAAAGGGTTTAACAGAAACTGAAAAAAATATATTAATCAATCTTTGAAAAATGTAATAAGCCATCTAACAAAAACATTGCAATAAGTTGATGTTGTGGCTTTCCTAATTATTCAAACGCGAAGGAAATATGAGCTTACCATAGCAATTTCCTTCTCTCGGATTTACGAATTATTTAAAGTAAACAGTTGTAATTTTGCATCGTTGATTTTAATTTCAGCTTCAGGCACTTGTTTATTCGAAAATAGTCTTAACGTTTAGAATGAAATGCTAAATCATAGTTAAAACTTCAGAGAATTCATTATAGATCAAAATAATTATAGTTTAAAAACAGTTGTTTTCTAAAAGCCTGTGTTTAAACATGCACCACAAACAGCATTCGAATAAGCTTTATCGATTTTCAAAAAACACTTTTGATAAATATGCCATTTCTTGAAAACTCACAAAATTATGATGGGCTGTAAAATAACATAATTATATAATCTCAATTTGCGCACACCAAATCGAGTCAATTTAAAATATTTCTTTTGACCGTCTATCTTCTTTATCTGAGGAAAATATCACGAGACAGCAATTTATGTTGTAGTTTCCTTAATAATTCCAACGCGAAAGAATCTGAGCAAACACTGACAACTGGCCTTTGTCGGATTTATGAATTATTTAAAATAATTGTACATTGTATGTCTCTAATGTTGCTAAGTTTAATCTAATTTCAGGCTCAGTGTCTATGTTTGCAAGAGTATTCTCATCATATAAAATGTAGTTATAAAGCACAATTTATGTTTTCTATAAAAAGTTTGTTCAAAAGCTTTTGTCGAAGACAGATTTAGTATTAGAATAAGGGACATAGCTTTTCGTTATACAGGGTGTCCCACGGTCAGCGTCCATTAGAATGTTTCGGAAAGTAATGCGATTTCAATCCCGCAAATTTGGATAAAGGGATTTTCGGAGACGCTCTTTTCAAATGAAATAATAGCGACATTATGCTATTTTCGGTTCTACCAGAAGTTGTCTCAAACCTACTAATTTTAAATGGAGCACGCACACCATCAATTTTGTGGGTCACATTTACAAAGCCGACCAAAATCAGGTTCCAGACGGATTTTTCTAAAACTTTAAACTTCTATATTGTCCACTAAAGATGGTAAAAGACGCGACTGCCTGTCTGCTTGAGTCCGGGAGATGTGAATTTTTAAGCAAGCGAATGCAAATTTTTTTTTTTTTTGAAAAATTTAAGTTTACGGCTTGCGTTCAATTTTCGATAAAATATTTCGACTTTCTTTTCCAAAAATGCATTATTAGCGCTCGAATGCATCTAAATTTTGCCTAAAGTATAACCATTATAAGTATTTTTCGACATGAAATGCGTCTGGCGTTCACATAGTGTAAAAATTCAACATATTTTCGGCTTAAAAATTGGATACCCGGCCTCAAACCCTCATAACTTTCCAATTTTTTAACCGAGTTTAGTTTTCTCAACCATCATTTTTAGTGAACATCAACGCAGTTTTATTTTATTTAAAGAGAGTGCGACTTTCGTGTCTGAAAATGCTGGTTTGGCACTTAGATCCATCTCAAGTGTGCCTAAAGTGCAAAATATAAATGTTTTTCCTCGACGTTCAAATCGTAATAAATCTTTCGCTTCTTAACCGATTTGAATTGCCTCAAAAGCCGGTTTTACAGAAGATTGTGCTCTTTACAACCCAGTCTTAATGATCCAATTGGGGGCCAGGTTTAAGAGAGTTGTTTTTCTCCTAATAACTAGAATTCTAAAAAAAAATAACTAAAAAACCAGAGCAAAACATTTTTTTCCGCATATTCGCGCTTTCGACCTCAAATCCCCTGAAATTTTTTAGCAATGAGTTGGAGACCAGTATTAAGAGAAATACGCGGAAAGTTTGTGCTAAATCAAAATACCATGAAACTGAAATCATTTTTTCATTAAAAATATTTCAAAAACATTTCAGAACGCATTTTGAGAAAAAAACAAACAAAAAAAAATTAATAAATTTCAAAAACTGTAGACAATTGAAACTGACTGTAACACTCTTTGAATAAAAAAGAAAAATAACTGGAAAAACCGACAGAAAGTGTCACTCTTGAACACATTCAAAAAGTAAATAATTCGCAGGTTCTCCCATTCCAGCCAATTCCACAAACTTATGAAGGTATTGCATTAAATTATGCATTGAATGAATGAGAAACGTATCATCGCGTTCAAAATAACAATGTTTTTCCAGTTTTATTTATAGATAATTAAAATTGTAATTTTTCCATTTTGCTATATCTAGATTTCTTGTTCGGATAATTCATTATCGAGCACAATAATATCTATTTTTGAAAATGATATTTTGAGTTTCACTCTTTCATCTTTGAAAATATATTTAATTTTAGGCTACTTAAAATTTTGAAATATAAACTGTATTTTGCTCAGAAGCGGATTGAGTACGGTAGAAAACTTACTTTTCAAAAAAGTTATTGAAAGAAGGGAACACAAGCTAAAACATTATACAGGGTTCCATTTAAAATAAGGAAGTTTGAAACAACATTCGGTATATCCGGAAGTCGCGATAATGTCGCTGTTATTTCATGTAAAAAGCGCGTCTCCGAAAATGATATTATCCAAATTTGCAGGATTCAAATCGCATTAAATCCCGAAATATTCTGATGGGCGCTGCCCGTGAGACACCCTGTATCCAGTGTGTAAGATATTCAAATAATGTGAAATTATGTAAAAAGAAGCATTAAAGAGGCGGTTTTCTTATTACATAATGGTGATATCTTAACATGTTCAAATCTGAAAACATCTACACATAAAACAAACTTAACACTACAAACAAACATCTACGAATAAAAAGAGCAAAATATACCAACGCTCTTTTAGAATAAGAAAACAAAAGAAATAAAGAAAACAATTAACAAAACATGATTGGACGAATTTTATCCATAATGTTCCATCGAAATTAGAGAGTTTAATAAAAACAGATCTGTTAAGCATACTGCTTTTATCAATATAAACAAGAATATATGTGATAATGGGTTAAAAACCGAAACTTGATATAATAATTGGCTGAAAGCTTAGTAGTTCCAAACGACCAGGTCAAGAAAAAATTGTATTTCAAAATAATTATACAAGAGACCTGTTTTATTCCCTCTGAAATTTTACAGCTTAAACAATTTTTCAGTTTTCATCTTTCGCATGATACTCGTATTATAGTTTATTAAAAAATATTCAGTCAAAAACTTACGTGAACATTTTAATAAATAAGGATACGACGTAAAGAAAGAATTGTTGAGCCAACAAAATTAAGTTTAAAATAAGAAAAAGTGTGTCAAGAAATGAAGAATAAATTTAAAAAAGAGCTTCAAGTTGAAGAAAAATTAGTTGAAAATGTCCCAAATAATATGCCTGAAATTTTTCCAGTTAAAATGTTATCTTAAAAAATAGTTGCAAAGCTTTCTGGTACAGTATGGAAGTGAATAGATTGTGAAACAAAATAGAAGCTCAGCAAAAAGGAAAGCATTTATAATTTACCTAAAACTAAAATTATA